AACCTGAGCAGTTCTGCCAGAATGTATGATATGAGGACTTACCATAATTTTAGGCTGCGTCATAGCTCAAGCGGTTAGTCGCTGGCTTCCCACCGCGGCGGCCCGGCTTCGATCCCGGGTCTGGTCAAGTGGGATTTGTGGTGGACAAAGTGGCGCTGGGGCAGGTTTTCTCCGAGTACTTCGGTTTCCCCTCCCAATCTTCATTCCACCAATTGCTCCACAATCACCCTAACCTATCATCTGGAGCTGGTACAATAGGCCAGAAGTGGCCGCAGTACAAGGGACTTAGTCCCACCCCACTAGCAATAATAAACAAAAAAATAATACCATAATTTTGGCATGTAATTCCATACATATTTCTTAAGCTCCAAAATCCGAGAGGCCAGCTAACCGGTTCCTACTCCTACTGAATTACTTGGTAATGTCAATAGTGGACTTATCAAACACGTGTAGGCAGCCCTGCATAGGAGCCGAACCCAACGAGGCCGTATCACAAGTGAGATTATACTGTGACGCGAACAGCTTCTGTGTTTACGTAACAATTCGAATTGAATGCAGTCCGTGGGTTCCAGTCTTGTGCAACATATAGGCCCAAGCCAGTCATGTTTCTAGTCGGGAACTCATGGTAACACATAAACAACACGGGAAATCTCCCCATAGTATTTGGTCCTGTGCACATATACAACTATAATTTTAATCTGTTCTATGAATTTTTCAGATGAATGTGAGAATAGCGACAACGCTTTGCGTCCGCACCTTGCCATATTTGTAGCATAGTGAAATCCTTTTATAACGGTTGGTGCAGTGCCCATTGGAGCGTGTGAACTACATTGTCGCGTATGGAACGAGCTGGCCAGAGTGGTGACGCCTCTGTTCCGTTCGACTGTCGGCCGGGACAGTGGCGCTCCTGACAAGAGTTTTTGTGACGTTCATCAGCCCCTCCAGACAAACACCTCAGGACACAACTCCTTCCTTCCACAAACTTTCCTACCATTCACTTCTCATATCACCCCCAGATACGTCACGTATGACGCGAAGTGAAGCCCTAAGTGTAATCATGATTTGAGTATTCCATCGAGGGACCCGTCAGAGTAGCACGTATTTAGAATCGTGTAGAACTGTTGCTATGGAGCGACCGCGAGATGGGCGGATATATCAGAGCCGTTTCTAAGCAAAGGCTCGATAAACATGTTCCCGTTGCTAGGCAGCAGATTATTAATAATGCAACAGTTGGGCCACAACAATGGAAGAGCTGTTTTTCTATATGGTTCGTGTCGAAATATTATAAGCATTATAAGCGTCACATCCCAAAAAGTAATGTTCTTCATTTACCGCTTGAGAGTCTCCACTGCCACAATATGACATATTATCGTCCAAAGGCTTCAAACTGTGATTATTATTTCTCTCCTCAGCTTGTAGTTTTATTGAAATAGAAATGAACACTAAACATGTGTTTAGGAGCCAGGATAGCGCAGTCGGAATAGCAACTGGCTAGGGGGTGGACGACAGAAATATCGGAGTTCGAATCCCTGTATGGTCAAGAATTTTTTCTTGGCCACTCCGATAAGACCAGTTTTGGGGCCCACCCAGCCTCCTATATAATGGTTACCAGGGACCCTTTCTCTGGTGGTAAATCGGCCGGAGTGTGAAGCTGACGTCTCATCTCCAATTAGTGCCGAAGTCAAGAATACGTGGATCTATACATCCCCTCCCCCTAAGCCTTCATGGTGTAGTGCTTAATTAGTTAAGCACAGGGACAACTCTACTTTTACAATAAGCACCTAGTCATGTACGGCGACGTTACACCCTCTGACGGGCCGTCACCTGACAGTTGTATTCCTACATTGTGAAAAGGACACAGCACCGACTGAGATGGAAAAAATATCATGGAGGCTGAGTACATTGGATATGAAATGATAGAGTCGGATTGTATAAAGGGGCCCATACACGTACGAGTCTGGCTCGCTAGTAAGACTCGGCTCGGTTCCAATGAGCCAAACTCGTCCGTGTGTGGGTTGCAAAATTGGGAGTCAGCTCATGCGTTTGTGGTGAAAATAATCCGAGCCCGGCTCCCGAGTCAAGCTCGCCGAGCCGGACTCGTACGTG